AACTTAGCAATCTGTCTGTCTCTGCCTCCTGAGTGCTGGGATTAAAGGTACCATGCCCAGCAGAAAATCTTAACATTTTCAAGAGAGAAGAGGTCAGGGAGTTGTCCATGTGAGCCAGGTTCAAAATGAAGAAGGTGCCTCTATCTGTCACAGGGGCAGGAAAGACAGGCGGTTGATGGCTGAGCCATTTGCTGGTCTGTGGTCTTGCCCATGGTCCTTCACCTTCTCACCCTCAATGCATCATGCGCGATGATGAGGACGGCAAAGAGCTCACACAAGTGTTTTCCACAGTGTGCACCACAGATAAAAGGGTTGTCTTAAGCAGGAGACTTCCATCTCTGGCTCTTGGTCTCTTTCTTAGAATGGGAAAAACTAGCTGATAACACTAAAATCAAGTGACATTTTGTAGTCACAAGTCTCAGGCGGAGTAATCACAAACTTGGAAGGTTTTTGATTTTGAAGATAATGGAGAGGAAGAGTATTTTCACACCTTTGATTTCTCCTTCCCTCGAAGTAACCTGCATTTCCTGGTCTGGCCACCCTTTGTCCCTTTGCTGAGTCTGGGGGTCAGGTGAGGACTGTAAGCAGTTTCCTGCGGGCCTCTCAGCCCAGGGAGGCCAGGGACTTAGACCTGAGAAAATCCCACAAGTGAGATGCCTTCACAGTGTCCAGGTCCCTCTGCCCTCAGTGGGAGGGAAGCTGAGTCATATCAGACATCACCAACATACACCCTGGCTCTGCCAGCCTTCTGAACTCCCCAGATCACTCATCAGTCTGGGCCCCAGTTCCCACACTGGGCCCTGAGAACAGACCCATGGGGTCGAGGGAGGTGAGGAGAAAGGTCAGAATTAGTCACAAGAAACAAATTAAGAACGATACATAGACACATGCCAGCCTCTGCCTGGATGTGGAGTTTCCCTCTCTCCTTCCCTCCCCTCCCCTCCTTTCCCTGTGCCCCCTCCCCATAGGACCTAGCTTTTCACCGGCTTGGTAAGGGCCCTATTTGCTGAGTTACTGCCTCAGCCAAGATGCTGGCCTTTTCAAAGCCATGGTAGCCCCACAGGTCTCTCCACAGTAACAAGATGGGGAGGGAGAGCTGGGCCTGGAACATGTTCATCCTGGGGACCCGCTCTTGGGGCACATCTGTCTGAAACAGCACCACTTACAGAGTACTTTCAAGAACATCATTTCCTCTGGTCTATGATGCAGCCGAGCAGATATGATCAGCCCCAGCCTTCAGCTCAGAAGCCTTGCTGAGGGGCCCAGGGACAGGCAACTGGATGTGACCATGGGGAGCCAGACCCTGGTCTAATTTTAGCCTCTTTGTATTGGAAGCATCAGTATATGCTAACGACCCTTAAAATGCTTTATGAACATTTTTGCAAACGAAATGGAGGGGAGAGGCCTGATAATTTTCCTAATTCTAACACAGTCACTGTTCACATTTATTGCATTTTCTGCTATCCCGTCTCTGTGCCCTTTAGTAACCATCACGCCGCAAAGACTGCAGCAGCATTTCCTCCACTTTCCCCATAGTCTCACTGGATGACACAGTCCTTGTAGTCATTCATTTAGCAGTAAGGAAGGAACCTGCTCTAGGGACTGGGGACACAGCATGAAATCAAGGAGCAAAACAATCTGCAACCACAGGAGTGCATGTTATGATGAGAGAGACCAATAGGCCAAAAAATGAAATACCTGGTATTCTATTGGCGAACAGCAGGAGAAAAAGATCTTACCTATGACTCCAAAACCATAAGGGATAACAAAGAAAAGATAGCGTTGATCCAATGGAGGAGACTCAGCTGGCTAATTTCATTATCAACTCTGATTCATAAGCTATGGTCATTGGGGGGGATCTGAATTGATTAAATGCCCCCACACACAGAGTGGCCTGTAATCAGTGGTTGATGTTTCGGGGCCCAGCCCATTGTGGGTGGTGACACCCCTGGTCAGGTGGCCCTGGATGGCACAAGAAAGTGAACTGAGAGAGCCATGAGGAGGAGCAAGCCAGTGAGTAGCACCTCTCCTCGGCCTCTGCATCAGCTCCTGCCTCCAGGTTTCTGCCCTGTTTGACTGAGTTCTTGAACCAACTTCCCTCAGCAATGGAGTGTGGTGTGGACGTGTAAGCTGAAATAAGGCCTTTCCTCCCCCAACTTGTTTTTGGTCACAGTGTTTTATGACAGCAATAACACCCTAACTAAGAGACTTGTAATGTTTTCCTTCAAGGAGACCAGTGCTGACTGTTTTGCATCCTTACAATAAAAATGTGAGGTTATTTAACTTCTGAAATTTTTACCTTCTTTCTCTTGGAAACATACTATGAACATTTTCTGATTTCTCATTGAATGCTACCTTAAAATTTGCATTTTAGTCTATCATAGTGATAAACGCATAGCATTTTAGAGGTTTTTTTTTTCCCCCTTCTTGGTTTAAATCTTTAAAAACTCCCCTTACTCAGCCACCCAACTTTCATTACCTTAGGATTGGTGCATAAGGAGGGAGTAGACGTGAAGATTGTAAGGTTAAGGAGTGTGGACATTTGAGGGGTTGGAATATGCATTTTTAATTTTTTTTTTTTTTTTTTTGCTTTTCAAGACAGGGTTTCTCTGTGTAACAGTCCTGGCTGTCCTGGTGCTTACTCTGTAGACCAGGCTGCCCTCAAACTCACAGAGATTCACCTTCCTCTACCTCCCTCATGCTGGGATTGGAGGTGCACCACCACCACCCGGCCGGGATATGTACATCTGTAGATTTCTTGATGAAGATGTCTCAGCTGCTTTCTTTTTTTGACTTGCATGTCTTTGTGAGGGCGTCAGATCCCCTGGAACTGGAGTTACAGACAGCTGTGAGCTGTCATGTGGGTGCTGGGAATTGAACCTTGTTCCTCTGGAAGAGCAGTCGGTGCTCTTAACCACTAAGCCATCTCTTCAGCCTCCCTCCCCCAACTGCTTTATAAAAGAATCTAGTTTGCTCTCCCTCCACAACCTATTATTAGTTCCTGCATCCATACCTGGTCTCCCTCACCAGGAAGTGGGGGCTCATCCTCCACGGAGCCCAATTGAGTGCAGCACCAGAAGAGAGGGAACTCCTCTCTCTGTGCATAGTTCTATGCTGTGGTAGACGCCAATTTTCGGTAAGCACTGCAGGAGGGGAGATGAAAACTTCCCATGGGCTTGAAGAGTCTTCTGTCTGTCTGTCTGTCTTCAGGGAGCTCGGCTGAGACAGAAGAGAGGAACTTGTAGGGGAGCTCTGTCCCATTAGCCTAGAGCAATACCTGCTCTGTAAGCTTCTGTCTAGACACACACTAGGGTCAGTGCCCCTGTTCTGGAAGCCCTGGGTCCTTCACCTCAGAAAGCAATAGGAGGACAGGAAGGACTATGAAATAAACAAGCCCTCAGAGTTGAATATACCTGAAGTACACCCTGCTGCTGGCCCAGGTAACCCGTAGGCTGCAAGCCTTGTCACTCAAGGGGGACATGCAGTGATGTTGTTTTTGACAAGAGCAGTTGCAAGGTGGGGTCAGGGTGGGCTGTGGGGCTAAACGTACTCCAAACCAATAGTCTCAAATGCTAGAGGGAACACAGTGGTGCTAGATGAAGAGAGAGGAGGTTAAACATCCTGAGAGATGCCCGTCTCCAGATCTAACCTAGCAAGGAAGCATCAGTCTCTGCGGCTACTACACGATCCACAATGCAGACGTGGTTCTCAGGAACAGCCTGATCACAGAATCACCTTCCCTCACCGATCAAGACGTTTCTTGGCCAACTCCTCTAAAAACATTTCCTTTCTAAGCCTTCCAGAAGCCTCAAAGGATAAACCAGAGTCTGAAATGGTTAATTCCAAACATTTGTACTGGAAGGGCTCCCAGAAAATGGGGGAAAGCCTGGACCACATTTAAAAATCAAAATTACACATCTCTTCTTTGAAATGACACCTGGCAGGCAGATGCTGTACACCCTCAGTTTTTTTCCTCTTTCATCTTGCAACCTTCAATATGTGAGATGTCTTTAAAAGAATAAGCAGTTCTCTGCCCTCCTGGGAGTACCACACTGACACAGGTGCAGCTGGTCCTCTCAACCCATCCCCACATCACACAAACCATCACCCTGAGGTACCTCAACTTCTGAATTGAATTTTGTCTGACTGTGAGACGCACTTTCTGACACCCATTTCACTCTTGCTGTTCAAGTCAAGAAACAGTTGCCAACTACGGCTAACAAATGGTTTCTTCTTCTTATTATTATTATTGAGATGTGAGCTCACAGAAGAACCTGGGGTCCCTGGCTCAGCGATGGGGAATCTGAGCACCCACTAAAAATTTCAGATTCCAGCAATCAGAAGGAAGGCCAGAAGGCTTCTTCAGAGGAGAGAAGGATCACCACAGCAGGGTAGGTACTCTGAGGGAACAGGTGGGAAGAACCAAATTGGGTAGCTCACACTGGGGTTGGTTCCCGGGTGAGCCTTTGAAAATGAAAAACCAAATTGGGGATGAGAAAGGATTCAGGCAATACAGCTTCGAAGATGACCAGAGCGAAGAGAGCTGTCACTCCTCTCATTCTACCGAACATTTTTGAGGTGGCATTGCTAGAGGACTGGCACGGAGAAAAAAATTTCTCAGAGGGCAAAGGCTTTTGCAGGAGCAAGAATAGTCAGGGACAAGAAGGGCCTTTTAGAGTCTGGGTTGGAAGTTTGGGTTGAGCTACTAAATGAAGCAGAGAGGAAAACCCGCTTCCCTCACATCTAGAGCAGAACCAGCTCTTCTCCAGGTGGGTGTTTACAGCCTTTCTTGCCCTGGGGAAAATTAAGGAAACACGCCCACCCTTCCCACGCCAATTGGCCTGCCTTCGAGAACAGCCAGTCTTAGCAGCCAGCTCTGAGAAAGCTGATGGACAGTCCCCAGGGCGCATCTGGGAGCACCGTCCCCCTTCGCGTGGTTCCTTTCGTCTCTCTCTGGCGCTCCGCGGCCCGGCCGCTTCATCTGCACCGCCCCGGGAAAGTTACCATGCAGAAGCAGAGTTCACCTTTGGGGACCGACCCCAGAACACCGAGCTGTCATCCCTGGAGAGCGAGGACGCTGAGCTGATCCTGCGCACCTGGCGCCCGGCGCGCGTGCACACCCCGAACCTGGCCCGGGCGCGGAACGAGCGGTCCAGCAGGAGGTAGATGACCGGGTTCGCACAGCTGTTGACAAAAGCCAGGCAGGTGGCGATAGCCAGACCCCAGCGCAGCGCCAGCAGCAGCTCGCAGGGCAGCGGCAGCGCCCGGAGGCGCGCCAGATGGAAGATGGCGCGCAGGACGCCGAAGGGCAGCCAGGAGCCCACGAAGACGCTCTCCACGGCGAAGATGATGCGCAGCGAATTGCTCCGGGCCCTCCCCACGCGCGGCAGGCGGTGCGACACGCGGCAGTAGCAGGCCAGGGTGACAGCCAGCGGCAGCGCCAAGGTCAGCAGCAGCAGCAGGAGGCCGAGGCCCTGGAGCGCATCCGACGGCTCTTCGGCGCACTGGCTACCCACGCCGTCGGGGCTGGGCTGCAGCCCGCGGTACAGTAAGGCGGGCAGAGCGGCCAGGAACGCCGCAGTCCAGGCGCCGCAGCACGCAGCTCGCACACAGCACGGGTTCCGCAGTGGCCGAGCGCTAAGCGGCCGGCCCACAGCCAGGTAGCGGTCCATGCTCATGCCAGCCAGCAGCAGCGCACCAGCGCAGCGTGTGGCCGCCAGCGTGAAGCTGCTGAGTTTGCACAGGCCGTCGCCGAAGGGCCAGAGGCCGCCCCTGGCCTCCGCCGCGGCCCACAGTGGCAGTGTGAGCACGAAGCCCAGGTCGGCGGTAGCAAGATGCAACACGAAGGTGTCCACCAGCCGCCGGGGGCCGCGCTGCCCGCTCAGCAGCCACACCACGAAGGCGTTGCCTGGCAGACCCACGGCGAAGGCCGCCAGGTAGAGCGCAGGGATGATGGCGTGGCCATAGGGCAGGTCCCAGGCCGGGCAAAGCTCTATTGGATCCAGGGAGCCAGAGCCCGAATAGTAGTAATAGTCCCAGGACGTCGTGCCCCAGCTGTGGCTCCAGGCCTCGGTGAACTGCATGGCTAGGGTCACTGGACCTGCGTGCACCCTGGAGCAGTGCAGTTCTCTCTGAGCAGAAGGGAGTTTGCTTTTCACGGCCAGTGCCCAGCACCTCCCTTCCTGCCACCCCAGGCCGAGGTGAAGGGGTGAGCAGGAAGGTGGAGGGGGAGAAGAGTGTGGGCCGGGAGGGGCAGACCTCAAAGTGGGCTTCACAACTGGTAACTGTGAGGAGATGTCCTTAGGGCTGGGAGACCTGTGGCCACTCAGTGTTGATGGCTCATCACTTCTGGGTGCTTGGCCTATTATCTGGGCCAGGGGGGGTTTAATATGGGGTTCAAGGGGCAATGAGTGCCCTAGAACTCTAACCTGTTCTCGGTTCTCACCAGGAGTTGCTTTTGTTTCCTAGTGTTTAGAGGGGAGGAGACAGACCAGGCACAAAGGGCTTCTAAGGGAGGACAATGCCTCATCTTCTGTCTCTAATTTGTTCTGCTGGGTAGCATACAGAGGAGGCCTAGAGGTTGAGGCAGCCTCTAATGATTCCTGATTAAGAATTGCCTCCTCCCCTCTCCCCTGCAAACTCTTAGACCAAAAGGTCTAGGTGTGTCACCTGGAGCGGCACTTCTGCTCTGGTTCAGAGCAGTGCAGAAGGGTTAAAGCTAGAGAGGGAAGTCCTAGTTGGAGTCCCCTGCTGGAAAGGGCCCAGGTTCCTGGGTTAACCCTCTTCCGTCCCTATCCTTCAAAACCTTGCTGGTAAGTCAAACAGGGGCCTAACCTCTTACAAAAGATGACCCAAAATGGCCCCTAACAAAACAACAGATTTGCTATTCTAAATCGTGAGGTAGGAACTCAGAGACCCCTTGTGAACATAGGGGAAGGAGAAGGTTCGTGGATAAAGGTGTGCAAGATGTCAACTTGCATGGGATAGCAAGAGGAGGGGCAAGGGTGGCTGAGGGAAGACGTGCTTTCTATTCAAGGAGCTACACACAAATTCTTAACACAGATCCATCCCTTGACAGGCTGTGTTGGAACTAATGTTAACAATGCCTTCCCAGAGTCACTTCTGCTGTCACCAAGAATGAGTGACTGATGCATTGAGCAACCCTGGAAATTGGGGGGGGGGGCTGGATTGTCAGTTTTGTTCCTTTCCATTCCATTAACAGTGACTTCTTCATGTGGCAGGCATTGTTCTTTGCATTTCAAGAAATGCACTCTTGACCTCAGACAGAATACTGAGGTGGGGAGAGACAGGTCGTGTGTGCAGTGGCCAACATGCCATCAGTCAAAACGTGGTCCATGCTTAAAACAAAGTCCTCCTAGTGCTTAGAAGCAAGGGCCATACTGCTGATAGGAAAGTGTTGCTGAGGGGCAGTGCTTCAGGTCAGGTCTAGGAGGAGGATAAGGGCCAAGAAGAATGGCAGAATAGAGAGGATGAGCCAACCTAGGAGGAGATAGAAAAGCAAGTACACTGAGACAGTAGGAAGACACTGCAGGCTGTGGGAGCCTAGGGGAGGAGTGTAGGAGTGTGAGCGAGCAGACAACAGATGAAACTGGCAGTTGTCCCTGTGCCTGCCCCTGAAGAGCTTCGGGTGTACATCTGATATGTAACAACCCTGGCAGGACTCCACCGCCAGCTGTTGTGTTTGTGACTGAAATAGACAATTATTATTTTATTTTGCAGGTGGCAAGGTCTCCCCCTCATCAGGCAAGTGCTCTGCCACTGAGCCACGTCCCAGCTCCTGACATAGTCATTGGTAGAAGGGACAGAAGGGAGAGGAAGTGTCAGGATCAGTACAGGTCCCCCACAGCAAGGATTTGAGGTAGGCCTGGGCTTTCTCTTTCTGAGGAAGAGTGTGGAAGATGTCTCTGTGGTTAAAGGACCAGAGCACAGAAGGGCAGCTGTGTGTATGGCCCGCTTGGCTTTGACTGGAAGTAGGATGATGAGGTAATTTATGATCCAAACCAAGACAACTGAGAGTAAAAGAAGCAAGGCAGCAAACAGTACTGTTGTGGGCAAACTGGGCTATGGGATACCCCTGGGTTGAGTCTCTGTTGATAAATGGAGCACTTCCCTACCCGGTAGGGAAGTGGGATGGAGCTAGATGAGTTCGCATTTCTGTCCAAATCCAGTTCTCATAGAGTAAGGGTTTTTAAGCTAGAGAGGGAGGGTGTAGCCAGGTTGCCTTTATGTAAGGGGAAAGGGCCTGCTTCTACCCTGCAAAATCTACCCCTTAGGTCAAACGTGCAGAGCTTGGGGTACATATCTAGTCTGTTCCTGCCAAGAATTTTTTCCCTGGGCTGAGGAGATGACTCAGTAGGTAAAGGCGCTTGCTACCAAGTCCGAGGAGCCTGAGTTCAATCCCCTAACCCACATAGCAGAAGGAAGGAACCTACTTCTGCAAGTCGTCTGATCACACGTGTGTGCCATAAACACAAATGCCCACACACATACACGCATGCACTAAAGAATCGTAACAGCTTTTAAAGTTACAAGCCGGGAAAAGGTAGTCAGACCAGGGAGTGAACCTGGCTGATCTCATTGTGGGCTCCCACATGATGCTGGTGTGCTGTGTCTACCTTCTGGTCGGCCCCGGTGCTACACACAGCCTCCTTCCCTGGAAGACCAGTGGGGCAGAGCCTAGCCAGAGGCCAGGCCCAGTCCTGAAGAACTTTTACCACTTGGCACATCTCAGTCCAGGGCTCCGAGAGCATGAGTGATCATGAAAGCTAGAGACAAACAGTGAAGCCACCGCAGGGAGAAGGCAGACCGGGGGCAGCTGCCAAGAGGGGAGGGGAGCAAGGGGCAGAGGGGAAGTAGAAGTAGGTTGTTTACTAAAAAACACAGATTAGTGCTTCCTGGCTGTGGTCTCATACCCCAGGGAAGTCTGTTTGAGCACATAGGGTGGATTTTCTCTGCTGGGGCCCAAGCACAGTGACTTTTTCCAGCTTGTCTAGCAAAGGCCAGAGTGAAGGACAATGCCCTGGACACTTGTGGCCCCCAGGCTGCTTTGTGAGGTGTGGCCGACTACTGTCTCTATGCCCCCCAGGAGGACTCACCACAGGGATACAAACAAGTTAGCCAATTGAAAGATTCATCTTTCCCAGCCCAGAGTGTTGCCGATTCTCTGACTAGTGTGAGAGGCTAAACAGAAGTGGCTGGCCCTTTTTCCATGGGACCCCTGGAGCCTTCTCTGACACCATCTCTCACAGGCCTCCTCTGTCTGTACTGTGTGTGTGTGGGGGGGCAATGGACTGACTATTCTGTGTTCCATTCTGCCTGTCTAGGGTACTGTATTGTCTTTGGGATGAAGGGAGAATAACGTGGACAACATTTAATCTAGGAAGTTCCCCACCCCCCTACATAGGCTGAATTTAAAGTTCCAACGTTTCCCACCACTATTCATTTTTTTTCTGTAAAAAATTATCATAATCTTCAAGGAAATTTTTTTTGGAAATTATACTTTCCATTTTCATTACAAAGTTTCGTGAAAGTCACCCCAGATTTGGCTCTTCAACACAATCATACTTGTAGGTTGAATTTTTTTTTTTCATTCAGGGAAGTATGTTTCCAAAAACAACGTGTCCACATACTGCCATTATTCTTAGGTTTTTTAAAAATGTTGTATGCCATATATTCTCCATGTATGTAGATTTACATGACTGTTTCAGCCAAATATGCCATTAGAATGTACCTGGTTTATCGTCTGCTGTTCTCTGTGCCACAAAAGTCCAACATTGTTAAATGTTGTTTATTTTTTTATTTTTTGCTTTTCAAGACCAGGCTTCTTTGTGTATCTCTGGCTGGCTGTCTTGGAACTGACTCCATAGACCAGACTGGCCTTGAACTCAGAGATCTACCTGCCTCTACCTCCCAAGTGCTGAGATTAAAGGCCTGTGCCATCACTGTCCAGCACTTAATTTTTTTCTTGTTTTTTTTGGGGGGGGGTTCTCTGTGGTTTTGGAGGCTGTCCTGGAAATAGCTCTTGTAGACCAGGCTGGTCTCGAACTCACTGAGATCTGCCTGCCTTTGCCTCCCGAGTGCTGGGATTAAAGGCATGCGCCACCAAGGCTTGCACTTAATTTTTTAAGCACTTAAATTCAGACATTTCAGGGGTTTTGGTGCTTTTAATTGTTATAGTTTGTGATATCCAGATAACCATATCTGTATGTATTATCATCATATACTTAATATTAATTTCTATAAACTATTTGTTATTAGGATAAACCATGATCATTTGATTCAGATATTTTTCCAAACTTTTTCTCAGCTATTTTAAAAAGGTCTTTCATCTTACAGTTTCAGTCAGATTTGTTGCTGTTACCATTTTCAGCTTAGAAGGTTATAACCTCTTTGATTATGTGTTACCGTTTGAATGAGGAATGTCTCTCAGACACATGTATATCAATACTTGGGGCTCCAGCTGGTGGTATTGTCTTGGAAAGTTGTGGAACCTTCTGGACATAGGATTTAGCTGGTGGATGTAGGGCTATAGGGGAGGATCTTGAGTTATTTAGGTCAACCCTACTCCTACCTCTGTGAATTCCATATCACTCTTTGGGGCTATGGTGGAGTGTACCCTCTCAAACAGCGAGCCTAAAACAAATCCTATGTCCTTTAAGGTGCTCTGTCAGATACTTTGTCACAGTGACAATAAAGGTTCATACATGATGTGTGAACATTGAGTTCTATGGCCATTATTATTAGACTTATTATGGGTATGTGTGAGAGTCTTTATGTATGTGCATCACACCATGTGTGCCTGGTACCCATGGAGGCCAAAAGGTGTTGGATTCCCTGAAACTGGAGTTATAGGTGGTTGTGGGCCATGGGGTCTGCAATAGTGCTTGGTGATGTCATCACCGCCTAGTCTCCAGCTGTCCTGCTTTAAGTGCTATTTCTCCCTTTTAGGACAGTGTTCTCTTTGCACACAGCACCTGGTTAAATGCGTCTACAGAGACACCTCATGCAGGAATCTTCAAGACTTGACCACCACAGTTCTTGGTACCTGGTGTCACTCTGATGAAGGCCCCAGGACCAAACATAGGATGATATAGAGAAACTGCCAGAAGGATTGAAATGTAGCTTGTACCCCACCAAACTGAGCAGTTGCCAGGGAAGATAGAATTGAATCTGAAGGGTGAGTAAAACCAAGCAAAGTCCTCTCTTGCGTTTCTATACCAGTGACGCATCTTCAACTGGGAGTGAGGAATCCTCTACTCACTGCTGTTGGGCAGGTCCTTCATAGGTGTGAGCGTGTATTGAGGGGCAGCAGATATAGATGATGGCCATTCTGGCCCTGCCCTGATGTCTTACCACCTGAGATGGCTGGCACACACAGGCGAGAGCCCCACCCTCATTATAAACATCTCAGATGTTCAATTATTTAGAAACTTTCAGGTACTAAATATGGGGTAGCTGGGAACAAACACTATCTGAGTCACAGATGAGCACTGGGCTCTAGTCTAGGAGATGAGTCACAGTGAAAGCCTTGTGGCCTGCAGCTGGGTGGTAGCCCCAAGGCTACATCTACCCCAAATATCTTTGGTGGCCCTTGGAGCACATGGGGGAGGAAAGCAGGGGCAGAACTGGAGACTTGGGTGGAAGGTAGCTTTCAAGGAAAGTGATGTTGTCTTTCTGCAATGTAAGGGCTTTTCTCTGTCTCTTTTTTCTTTTAGGTTTAAAGAAACTCACCAGAAAATTTAAAGACAAGCAGCAGGTAAGTCCCTTGATATAAAAATGCCCCTAGAATTTGTTTGGAAAGGAAATAACATTTTCTTTTGATGGTATTCTGCTGTCGGAAGCATCTGGGCTACAGGCTACCCACCTGCCATCACTTTCCAGGTTAGGGCAGACTCTAGCTACTTGCAGCAAAGCCTCATTAGCACTGGTGGGAGGGCACTGTCCCCTCTCCAGTGGTGTGATTCTGCCATTCAGAGAAACCAATTCTAGTCACTTTCAATTTGGGCTGACTTTACAAAAGGCCCCTTCCTACTTGTGGGCAAGGCTGTATCAGGGAACTTCACAGACACACAGAATGGGGCTTCCTTTCAAACAGGGAAAATGTATTAGGGAAGATAAGCCATCCGGTACCAGTAACTGTGATACAAGGCATACTGTGACATCCTGCCTCGTATCAAGGTCAAAACAACAAGGGTTTCTGAAGGTGTGTGTGGACAAATGGAAATTCTCAGTGGTTCCCAGCACTCAGGCAATTCCCTCAGCTCTCCCGTTCTCCATGTAGTCCAATAAAGTGCTCAACAATAAAATGAACGGAGACAAGTCTTCATGGTTTGACCCCCCCCATCCCAACCAGTTTTGTGATAGCTTGGAATGTCTTAGTTTTCTGTTTTGGTATGACTAAAATATTTCTCTGTGGTTCGGTCATGCTGAAAGGTGACCTGCGTAAGCCTGTGAGGCCTCTGAAGCCCTACTGTGGGAACTGATGTTTACAAAGACTATCATGGTTTTGAGCAGTGGGGATGGCATGATGACACTAGTGCTCAGAGAAGCAGACAGTGTGGAATGTTAGGATTGGGTTAGGGTTAAGATTAGGGTTAGGTTAGGGTTAGGTGCTAAGCATGAACTGTAAGCGCCTAACAGTCAGTGACAATGAGGAGGAACACACTAGGTTTTGGTGCCTGCCTGAGATTAAGGATCTTCTGTTAGTAGGAAAGGAAGTAAGGTGTTAGCCTACCATTTGCTGTAATTTGTTTTTCAACAACAGCCATTCTGATTAGCATGAGATGAAATCTTACTGTTGATTTGCAGTTTCCTGAATAAGGATGTTAAACAACTAAGCACAAATGAGTATTGGTTTTTGGTCTCTTCATATCATTAGCTCCTTGATCAATTGGCAGGTGCTTTTGATGTCCAGAGGCCAGGAAACACCAGATTCCCTCTAACAGGGATCACATACAGACAGTGGTGAGCGGCCTCAAGGGTGCTTAGAGAATTGAACTCTGGGACCTCTCCAGTCCCTCGTATATTTTTTGTAACAAATATAAGGCACCTGTAGATGAAGTAGCTTTTTTTTTTTCTATTGAGATAGTCTTTTTTTAAATTTAATTTACTCATATTTACATATCCATCCCCCCAATCTCTCGCCCTCCCATGTCCCCCACCAACCCCCCTCCCAATCCATCCCCCAACTCCTCCCCAGGAACAGTGAGGTCCTCCACCAGGGACCTTCAAAGTCTGTCATATCATTTGGGAGGGCTTGGTTTGGTCCAATGCTGTTTCCCCAGCTTTATGACTAGGGTCTCCATGCTCTCACTAGGTCAGGTCAACTGTTTCTGCGGGTCTCTCCAGCCCCTTCTTGGCTCCTTTGCTCATCCCTCCTCGCTCTCCACAACTGAATTCCAGGAGTATTGTTCAGTGCTTAGCTGTGGGTGCCTGTTTCTGCTTTGAACAGCTACTGGATGAAGGCTCTAGGAATGGTAACCAAGGTAGACACCAATCTCATTATAGGGGAAGGATATCAATGGCATTTTCTCCACCACATTTGGATTCTTAGTTGGGGTCATCCCTGTGGATCTCCTAACATTTCCCCTGTGCCAGACCTCTCTCCAAACCTGTACTGTCTCCCTCTATCAAGGCATCTCCTTTCTTGCCCTTCTGTATTCCTCCCGTCTCAGTCCTCTTGTTCTCCTCTGTCTCCCGTCTTCCCTTCCCACCTCCTTCCTCTCCACCCATGCCCCGTGCTCCCACTTTGTTCAGGGGTTCTATATAGTACAGTGACACTAAATTTTGGTGTCTAAGCACTGGACACTGGGACACTGAGGTGCTTTGAAGAGGATGACATGCCCAAGGTACAAACACTAGATGACTCAAAGTCTAGATTTTCCTATTTGAGAAACAACTCATGAAATGATACAAAACCTACAAAAAAGTAGCAAGTTTCTATGGAATGATGGAGTTTCACTCATTTCAGACTTTTTTTTCCCCTTCCTTGTTCCTAAGCGATAGGACTGCAGCTGTTTGAACCATCAGATTTCACTCTTCCATATATGTGTAGAGGTTAGAAATGAAGATGTGGGTTCCTGCTCACCACGGAGTAGTTTCCTTTAGCCCAGCAAAGTTCACCCACTTATTAGCCAGGTGAGGGGGAAGCACCAAGGTTTATGTATATTTCTCTGATACACCCAATTTTTAGGAGCAAATGTGTTTATTCTGGAAAATTAAAATACTGGAGAATATTGTGGAAGTGTGATTGCATTCTGAGGAATGAGCTTCTTACAAAAAGGTGGGGCTCATGCCAATGCCCGAGCATTCTTCAGGTGCATGAATATGCATGAAGATTTTTTTGGTTATAAGCTTTTTTTTTCCCCATGCCCTCATCTGAATAAACAGAATGAGCCCAATCAAAGCAAAACCTAGAGGAAGGTGAAGAAGTGGCTACTGTATCGGGCTCCCTAGCTACCCTGAAGACTTGAGAGCATCCGTGCTGCACATTCACCAGTCCACCAGCGATGCTGTGAAGCAATGCGTGAGGAACATGAACATACACGAATCATACACACTATCTGGGCAAAGCAGAGAGACTTAAACACTTCCTAACATCACCCAGAAAGGTATTCAAACAACATTTAATATTAAAAAATACTTCTTATAAGTAAATACTCAAATCGTTAAATTTAAACATAGGCTACGAGACAGGAAAACTCCATGATGCATTCTCTTGAATCCAAATAATTTTACCAAACACAAGACAAAACACACATTTTATTGAAGAATCAGAGTCATTTGGTGCCATGCTTTTATTCAAATGAAAGGGGAACTACACTGTACCAGGAACTAGCAAGTCTGACGGCATTGACAGCACACATCACCTGCAGTGCTCAGGAGTGGACAGTAAGCACACCACACACTGCACATTGCCCAACAGTGTCCATGAAGTCACAGCGAGAAAGAAGATTTTGGCTTTAAACAGCCAAATAAAAACTGCAACAGTCCTCCAAAAACCAAAACCAAGAAACTGAGAGGAATTAAAAACTTCAGAAGTTGTGTTGAATAGCAGGAGTTGACAGGCCACACTGCTTACCATGACAAGGATTTGGCAATTTAAACTGAATAATTATCATGGTGATTTGACCTCCAACAATGACAACACTTGTGTTTCAGTAAGACTGATGGAAATCTCCAAACTTTATGGAATGGTATATTTTCATTTGTATAATTTTAAAACATAATTTAAAAAGCTGCACCATAATAAAAAAATCTGCAGACTAAAGAAATATATCTGTATTCCTCTTGCATTAATAAAGTAAAATATACTGAGAGCAATGAGCTTCGTGGCGATAGTCACACCCTACCTTTAGACACTAGACATTCAGTTCAGTCGCTGGATATAATTTAAGAAGAGAGACAGGTGTGGTTAGTGTTCATTAGTTCTTCCATTGTCTTGCAGCCTATTTTTCTTTATTCAATATTCAGATGACAGCAAGAAGACTGCTTTGATAGGGAAAAAGACCATGTTTAGTAATATAAAATGCTTATTAAATTCCTTTGTCTATTATTCACTTTGTTTTGATTAGTTTTGTTCATAATTTTTTAAACTAGTCTTAGCCTAAGGATATTTGTTTGACCCTTTCCTTCTAATTGTGATAAAAATTGGTGTCTGAAAGGTAAAATGTGAAATTCCCCATTTTTAATACTCATATATACATAATATGTATACATTTAAAATATGAGAGTTACATAGCCTGGTCTCTTACATGCAAGCAGCAGATCACAAATAGTTTTCAGCTACACATACATTTTGCACAGGTTTTGGAAAAAATCCGTGAAAATTTTTTTTTTTACAGTTTTAACAAATATACATAAATATAAGAACATAAATTACAGTAAAATATTGACAGCATTTGAGAAAATGTTGAAAACCCAGATGCACTGATACCTAGAGGCCTTATAATAAAGTACAGCTCAGGGACATCCCATTCCGTCCTTCTTTTTAAATAAGTAAATACATTACATGAGACATGAGTTCTCTCTCTAAACAACTCAATTAGAGAAATGTACATAGTTTCATCTCCATATCCCATGAAAGAAAACAAACTACTCTCTCAGTTATAAACAATATGTCTCTCCCCCCGCCCCCCAGTGTACACAGTTGTCACAACACTGAAACACAACAGGGTCACAAAATCATTCAAGTCTTTTCCTGAGAATGAAGTTTTTCCCCAACTAACCTTAACCCTGGTATACTTGCTAAAGAACAAAGACAGTATAGAGGGGCTTCCATGTGTGTCCTAACCTACGCTGTCCCACTGAAAAGGGGCTAAAAAAGAAGGAAAACCCAGTAAAACTAAAATAACATAAAGCTACTTTCAAATCAAAATGTAGCCCTTTGTACATGTTTAAAAATTCTAAATATAATTTCTATATCAGTTATAAATATAAAGGCCTCCCGAGAACTGCCCAGGAAGCCTTACATTTTCATACTGAAAGGCAACACTCAAGTGTTACTCACTTCTGCCAGCTTATAAAGTGACGTACTTTAAAAGAAATAGAAAGTGTTTTTGTTGTTGTTGTTGTTAAAAGTACAATCTAAATTATTCTGAAGTTGGCCAGAAGTGGTAAAAAACGGCACTGATTTAATCAGCAGCTTCTTACAAGATACTCTGGGTAAAGCTTGTGTGGTCTGCAGGGAACCCAGGAGCAGCTCTTTACACCTCCTTATTAAACAGAAATGTTAATACTTGTGTGAATAATAAATAGAGAAGGTAAATACTTAGGATGATTCTTGCAAATGCTGTAATACCATTAAAACATGAGGGCTATTGTAAAACATAACACTAGTGTTTCTCTTAACATCGTAAGAAAGGTGCAAGACACTTCTCAATGTGAACTTTCTGCTTTCATGATCTCCACATGAAACAAAACACAAAGGCAGCTTAGAATAAACACCCAGGAGAGAGAAAGGTAACAACAGCAACAAAACCATCTGAAGATGTGCACACATAGTACAGGGTTAAAAAAAATACAACACATAATTTTGTCATCTAGTTCAAGCCTATGTCCCACTGTGTCCACGAGGAGTCAGTGCTTCAAGGTCTCTAATGCCAGGCAGGCGAGCCTGGTCACATACAAACCTCTGTTTGTGAATCAAAGCATTCCCTTCATCACTTGGCCTTATCACCTAGGAGAATCTTCTGCACTCCAAACACTGTGTACATTCCAGTTGTTCACAACAACAGAGTTAAGGTCCAGTTTTAATGGATAAAAATCTTGTTGGCAATTAGAAAGGTTTTCTATAGGCAGGAAAGATGAAGTACAAATTTACCACAAAGGTTCTGAAGCAAGCATTTCCCGCCTCCTACGCTTTAGTAGGTAAGAGTTTTTTGGGTGTAACTGGTCTTTTGGTTTGCCATAAGTGGCTATGAATGGTAATTGCATCCACACTAGCAGATAAAGTTTTAGCAGGTATGTGGCTAAACTGTTTCCTGTCAGAATTGTACTTGTAAAGTCCCTCAATCATCTTTTTAGTGATAGATTTAGGGCCTATCCCAGTCAGTTTATTGATTTCTTCAGTTTCTGGGCAGTAAGTATACAAAGACCTGAACTGGCAGCCTGAATCCCGGAACAAGATTAGGAAGTTGTTGGCATCTGACTTCTCCATTTCCTTTAGAATAGAAAACAAAAACAAGATAACAATAAAGTTGTACCATTTTATTGAATGTTTATGTAACTGTTCATATTACTTGGTTAAAACTTATGACATTTTAAAAATCAAATTTCATGTTACTATTTCATGTTACTATTTCTGGCAGTCGTAGGGGATCATTTGCACGTACTCAGGAGGCATTTACCACTGTGTTCTACCAAGACTTTCCAAGACAGTTTAACTACACCTGTAGGTCTTTCAGAACTCTCTGGGAGTAGAGTAACTCTACCTAATACTAACACATGACCTGATCACCCTGCCAGAGGGTCTTCCCAGCACTGACCCTGAAGACCCTCAAGTGCTACTGAATTTCATCTTCATGAGAATGTGCTTACCTCTAGTATTTTTTTCTTCTGACCTTCATTTACTTTCCCAGCCAAACAGCAGTGAGCTAGCGCATTCTGGATTATGTGCTTATTGGATTTGGCACTCGGTTCCTTGTAGAGCTTTGGTCCTGTAGTGAAAACATTTATAACAGTGATAGAAATGACATTTCCAAGACAGAAACATTACCAGTTTTCCATGATGTGATTGATTCTACACTAACGACACTGCAAGAGAAAACCAAATTCTGGACTTGAAGTTTCTTATGGACCCTTTTTTTTTTTTTTTTTTGAGACTGGATCTCACTATGCAGCCTTGGCTGTTCTGGAACTCACTCTATAGACCAGGCTGGCCTCAAACTCACAGAAATCTGCCTGCCTCTGCCTTTAAGTGCTGGGATTAAAGGTGTAAGTCACCATGTCCAGCTCTATGGTCTTCTTTTTAGGGGCTACACTCCAATCACAACATGGCTTTATACACACAAGGACACATTTGGGGGATTTTCTTGTGGCTTTGTGATGCTGTCCCATGAAGGCAATATTGGGAATGAGATCCTGCTTATAACCTTACAGTCTCTTCAATCTTTCCAGGCTGGCTAGACTGCTGACTATTAAGCTTAAAATATACAGGGTCCAAGAGTCCTTTTTAGGTTAGTTTTGTTTTCTTGAGACAGTGTCTCTCTCTGTAAGCCCAGACTGGTGTGGAAGTAAGTATATGGTCCAGGCTGGCCTCAAATTCATGGCCATCCTCTTCCCTTAGCCTCACAGACTCACAAGTGCTGGGGTTTCTGGTATAAGCCACCATATTTAGCTAGGTAGTCTTGGGAGATAGCTCACTCAGTAAGTACTTGTCTTGTAAGCACAAGGATGTAAGTTCAACCCCCAGAACCCACATTATATATTTTTTATAAAAAAAAGTTCTGGTGAGGTGGAGACAGGCAAATGAAAGAAACCCCATTTCACAAATGCACAAAGCTGAGTGTGGTAATTCCAGTTCTCAGGAACAGAGGTAGGTGGATATCTGAGTTCAAGGCCAGCTTGAGGTACATATTGAGACTCTGTTTAAAAATCCAAAAGCACCAACAACACAGCCGCCGCCGCCACCACCAGGGTGTTCACACTGCTCAACTTTACAAGCAGAGGCAGAAAGAGTAACAGGGAGATACTCCCCAATCTTATCACTGCAGGCTGTCAGACCTGGGCAGAGGCAGAGTGACAGGGAGATATTCCCCAATCTTACACGAAAGGCTGTCAGACCTGGGCTGGAGAGATGGCTCAGTGGTCAAGAACACTGGCTATTTGCTTATCCAGTGTCTGGGTTTGATTCCATCTCTAACTCCAGTCCCAGAGGATCTGATGTCCTCCTGATGCAGACCCCAGGTGTGCAAGAGGGGAACAGACAGACATATATAGGTAAAACACTCATACACACAGAAACGAAAAAAGAGGCTGTCAGATTGACCATAGGAGGTTGTACCAAAGCTACAGAATAAAGAGGAGAAAGGGGAAGCCAGAAAGTAAATACACAGTCTCTAGCTGGTTCTTGACTACTCAGGGTATGGCAATGCTTCCAACCCTGCAAAACTGCAGGCACACAGGGGCCATCTCCTTCACCTGATCTTCCCCACACCAGGT